AGAGACTGTGTAAACTCCATGCTCCGGTGTTCTGTCTGATCAACATATGCTGTCAGATATATACATACATATATATAAATATCTAAATCTCTCTTTCTATATATATGTCTCTATATAGATATATATATATATATATATATATATATATATATATATATATATATATATATATGAAATAGACAACTTTATCGTTACTTACTATGTACACCGGAACTAAGGATACACAGCTTCGAGCCAAAACGGAGGTTGTGTGACGTCATGTGAAAAGGGTCTATTAAAATTTGATTGATTGATTCACAGATGTTTGTTTTGATTTCTTTGTTTTGGAGCCTACCATCCAGGACCTGGTCGTACCCACCGGTAAACCAAGTTGGATTTAATTTGTGAATTTTCTTTTTGTTCATGTACAGATATTTTTATTGTTGCATTGTGATAATAAGTTATTGTCTTGAAACCTGTCTTTTGCTTACTGCAAAACCGGACCTGTGTCCTTTACTTTTAATTCCTGGGTGATGACCCCAGGTGGCGTTGTTGGCAACAAACAAAATTTATTGTATGGTCAAACCACTGAATGCCAAACTGGCCTACTTTTCTGCCCATTCTTCTTGCTAAATTTCTCACATTTGGTCAGATTGGATTGAGAGATTGGATCTAGCAATAGATTTTCTATTGAATTTAGTTTTGCATTTTCTTAAGTGACAAGGAAGAAGGCAGGTAGAGAGGATTGGGAGACATTTCGAGTTTCTTCTTGGTGGATTCTGTATGATTACGGCTTCATTTCTGCCATCTTTGATAAGCTACAAAAAAATGCATACTTTACTTACAATTCTCCTTAAGCTTCTCTCAGCTCCCCAGATCATTTCATTTCACATAGACCTGAAACACACCTGTACCTTTTTAGTCTGCATCATTAGAAGATTAAACTAAACAATACAGCAATGTTAAACCTAAAGCATTTTAAATAACATGAATGTTTAAGGAACAAGTTATGAATAAATAAAAGTTCAACCACTATACCACAGCCCCAGCTGTGTTTTCCATGGTTGTTGTGGGTGTAGTTTGTTTGGGGGAGATGTTCAGTATTAACTTTCTGCCACAATAGCTTTCTGCATGTAGGTCAAAGTCTTAGCTCACCCAGTGAGCAAAAAATCTCATGAGAATTACATTGAGGAGTTTGTGGTTGTAATTTGACAGAAAGGGTACAGACGCTAAGGATATGAATGCTGTTCAAAGCTCTGTACATCCTGAACATTTCTTGCAACAGCCAATTAGACTCTTATACATCAACATCCTTGAGCTTTCAAAGTAATTTTGTTTAGAAGGCAGAAGCCAGATAACAATCATGATAGCCTCTGAAACCCATCACAGTATCTGTGGAAGATCTCGTACAGAGCAGCCAAATGAGGAGACTTTATCTGAATTGACTGCGTCAAAGTGCTATGGGCTATTTGAGTAGCCCATAGCACTCAAATAGTGCTATGGGCTATGGGTTTGTCTCTGCGATAGACTTCTTTATCGCAGAGACAAACATAAGAATCATAAACCACTTACATTTCTTTCTCTCTCTATAAAAAAAGGTTCTCTCTTTTTGCACCAACTTTATCAACATAACATTCTGAATTTGCAGGATTTAGTTGTTAAACATCAGCGTTTCCTGTGTGTGCTTACATGTGAGGAGATGGTACAGCAAAATGTTGCTGTACAAAGAGCAACCAATGGGATCACAAGTCAGGAGATGTGTACTAACAACCCATGACCACATGATGTCACCCTTTTGGAGCAGTATGCATCAGTACTTGGGTTTTCATGAACACATTGTTATTGTTAGGATTTTAATCCTTTATATATAAAACTAAGTGCATGTTTCACAGTATTGCTTTAATAGCTGTAAAAATCAAGCTTATTATAAAGCCTGAAATATTATAAAATGACACTTTTATGTCTTTTCATACATAAGGATACTTAAGTACTAAATGAAACAATGTATCGTTTTTATTTATTTTTTGGCTGAAATGTTTACTTGTGATTGAAACTGCTATAAATTGTTTTCTTTGGTTTTATTTTTTTTTCTATATGACATATCCAAACCAGAGCTTAGAGCTTACTATGTCACAATCTTTGACAAAAATATTACTTATTGCATCTCAGAAATTTGACTCTATCGTCATAGAGTCATGAAAAAACAAGAAAACACAGCATAATTTATTTATTTAATTTTTTTTCAATAATTCATTCAAAGAACTGTCTTCATTTTTCACTAATAATCTTATTTTTGCAAATGCAGTTGTGAACCATTTTGGCTTTTAATAAAATATATATAACTCTTTGTTCAGAGCATCATTGAATCTGAAAGCAGCATCAACACTCTGAAAAAATGCTATATTTATTGGACCCCTACCACATTTTTTCTTGCTTATTAGTCTGTGCATCCATTTAGGAGTGGGTGTTCCCTTTTGCTGTGCAGAACATAAACGATGAAAGAAATCATGGCCAAATACCCATGGTGGCTAATTAGTTTCAAGATGGTTTATGAAGTAAGGTTTGAATAGAGATCTGTTTAACATTTATTTTTGAGGATTCTGAACTGAGTTTTTGTAGCTTTTTTTCCTACTCTAACATGATAAAACTACTAAGATTTCTTCACTCTGAGGGGGAGACATTTTCACAAAAACTGACACATTTTGCTAATATGTAAATAAAATTAATCAGAGTTAAGTGGTATTAGGAAGTAAACACAGATTAATACATAATGTTAGCTATAGAGACCATCCAAATGAATTCATTTTACTACGAAAGGTTACACAATTCCAGAATCTGATTAATGTCACAACAGTGCAAATAAGCAAATAATTTACTTCTAAATAAAATTTAAAAAAATATTTTGAGAGGGAAATGGAGCTCTTTAACTATATTTTCATCTGATCTTTTCTTCCCATTAGCTAAAAATCTCAGTGCTTGTGCAGAAACATGTAAATAACTAAAAACTTTCTTTATAATGTCTGGTAGTGTGCAAATATTTTCAAAATCAGCCCAACTTACCAGGACACGGAATTCTTCAGGAGCAGCACAGATCAGCTGAACAGCCATCTCAAGTTTTAGATTCACTATTCAGTGACATTTAATTATATTAAATATCACTGATTTTTAATATATATGATTTTAAGTACATATGTGAGGTTGGACTTTCAGTTCAAGAACTCCAAACTCATGCTTTGTGCCACAGATTTATTTGCCATAGATCCAAGGTAAAGTTGTCAAAAAAATAGCAAAACAGAAAAACACTCTGAATCCTGGCTTTTTTCTCCTTGACTGTGTGTCCTATATTTTTCCACTACTCAGACAGAGGCCACATCCTGTATATGAGAGCAGAGTGCAGTGTGGAGTAATAGTTTTCTTAAATTCAATCAAATATCCTCCCCGAGTAATAAAGGCTGGAGGAAGAGGCCAGCTGTCCCCAGGATGCAGACAAGCACGAAAACCCAAAGGAAGATCCTGTCAATAACCATGGCAACATACTTCCAGTCATCCTGAACCTGTGGGAGCATCACAATGAAAACATGGTTACTGTTTCAATTTGGAAAAAGACCTCCAGTAAATGCTTCTAAATAATTTGAACAACTCTTTACCTCTTTAGCTTCGTTCTGAAGTCTCATGTTTTCTGCTATGTATTTAACACTTTCAATTGCCTCCCTGACCTCAGGAGACAGAGGCAAAAGGGACATAACTCCCCCATCTAGAGACTCAGAACTGGAGCAATGACTCTCCTGTCTGACCCCAACACCAGTGCTGCCAGTCAGGGCCCCCAGGCTGCCCAGTCCACCACTTCCACCACCAGAGTCTGAAGGCAGTTTGCCCGATCTCTTCTGCCAGCAGCAGTTACATCGGCCCTCACAGCACAGGACGCCAGAGGCGACACATTTACCAGAGTCTTCGCTCAGGTTATTCAGGTTGGAGAGCTCTGTGTTATTGAAAAGCCTCTGGCGGTTAGTCAGGCTTGACACAACGCTGGATGCCAAAGCTTGGGGCTTGTGCTGCTTTTGCAGAGTGCCTGAAGAGTGGACAGCGCAGGTTCTTGGATGAATAGTCTCAACACTTCCAGCCACCGTCACCTTCTCCGGGTCCCTCTCCGGCCTGGTCATGAACATCACTTTGGGCAGCAGTCCTAGAAACACATGTCGCACCCAGCAGGGCATGGTGTGTGTCTTCGGTGTGCGGTAGTGGACATTCAAGACAAAAACGGTAATGACAATGGAGAGGGTGACGAAAATCATGGTGAACAGGAGGTACTCGCCGATCAAAGGTATGACTAAGGAGGTAGAGGGAATTGTCTCTGTTATGACGAGAAGAAAGACGGTCAAAGACAGCAAGACGGAGATGCACAGCGTGACTTTCTCACCACAGTCAGAAGGCAGATAGAAGACGAGCACTGTCAGGAAGGAGATTAAGAGGCAGGGGATGATCATGTTGACTGTGTAGAAAAGAGGCAAGCGGCGGATGTACAAAGAGTAAGTGATATCAGTGTAGATCTCCTCGCAGCAGTTGTACTTGATATCATGCTTGTAGCCAGGGGCGTCAATGATTATCCACTCGCCAGTCTCCCAGAAGTCCTTGAGGTTGATGGTTGAACCAATCAGCACAAGGTCAATTTTGGCCTTGTCATAAGTCCAGGAACCAAACTTCATGGTGCAGTTTTGGTAGTCAAAGGGGAAGTATGTGACATCGATCTTGCAGGAGCTTTTAAATATAGCCGGTGGGATCCAGGTGACGTCACCGTTGTAGCGAAGGAGAGCCTTTGTTTTGTCGTCAACCTGAAAATCTCCAACTGCACTGTTAGCACAAGAATAAAGCTAATGAGAGTGGACAGTAAATAAAGATATAAAGTACTGACATTGTAATATAGACATATGAATAAAAATAGAATAGAATGTAAGTCACATTAAAAACTTTCAAACAAAAAGCCCAAGTGTTGAACTTGTAAAATAATTGACTTTACACCAGATGTCTGCAACAACACAAATAATGCATACATGCAAAAAATATCAAAATTAGTTTCTGCATTAAATTGATTGACAAAAGGAATGAACACATAGCATCTCATAGCATTTATTTGTATTTATTTGTATGCGTGGATCAATTGGGTGTTTTCCAACATCTGGTGTAAACTTTATTCCAGTAAACTCTCAGAAAATATATCTTCTGAGATAATGTTGACATGTCTGATGCTCATTTTCCTCACCCTAGTTTTCCAATGAGCATCAAGATACACCCAAATGAATATCCATAATCATAACCCCCTCTTGAAATTTCCACTTACTTATTATAAAGAACAATGTCTGGCTTCCAGATTCTTTTCGATGGTACTCGGATGAACTCCACGCCGCCAAAATCTTTAGGATCCCATTTGAGTTTATAATCATTCCAAATCTGGCAAAGGACATAATTTTTCAATTACGTAAAAAAAAAAAAAAAAAAATCAACATCAAAGCTAATTTAAATGAGCATCATTCACTTGAGCAGCGAAAAAGAAATATATGAGGCCATCACCTTTGTTTATGACTAATATTTTTTGTTTACATCTAGTAACTTGACTTGCTGATCCAATTAAACTCAATACAATATCTAACCACCTCAATATTGATGGCTTTGTGCAAAAACCCTTCATCTTCCTGCAGATGGTCCTTCACAGAAATTGACAGCAGGGGAAATCAGAGTCAGACTTCGCTTTATTGGACAAGTAGGTTAACACACGATAATACAAACTGTTTGAATACAACAGGGAATCACTCGTTTACATCCTGTGGGAGACCATATGCAGCCTGTTCTGCTGCACAATGCCAGGCTTCAGACAGTTTTAAACAACTGTCTCCCACTAATGCTGGCAAATACATCAAGCTTGTTCATTTAAGAAAATATATATATTTTTTAAATACAAGTAAAACTAATTTGGTTTAGACGGCAGAACATCTATATATGAAGTTAGCAGTTGTTTTCCCCTGGTGATTATCATTTGAAATTGATTTCAAAAGCATTCTCTTCACCTAAAACTCATCATCTTCTGTTGTAATGTATTAACAAAGCAAAAGTGCATTTATTGTGTGTTTTACAGACTTTTTTTTGCTACAGTGTCTCTGACCCTCAAGCCCTGTTGCTCAATGAATCCATTGAGACTTATGAAGCCACAACCGCAATAATTTTGTTGTAATTCTTTCAATTACAACAGTGCTTTTTAAAAATGGGATGGGCAACATGGGAAATTTGTCTCGTTGCTGAAATTTGTGTTTTTCTTGTAGTCACTGTGAAATATGTAGTTTATATTGAGGAAAGTGAATGGAATAGCAGAGCCTTATTTGTGGAGTGTTTCAAAATGTGACTTGGAGACCTGCATTAGTTCACTGCAGTATGCATCATGGCAGCAGAAGTATAATCTGGAGGGACAGGCAGGTGGCTGTGTAACCGGTCTTTACACAAGATTTAATTTTGTTACAGCCTTGCGTTATGTAATTTTGAAACATATTTTGTTAAGGTTTTAATATTTATGTTTAATGTGATGCAGTAGCTTGAAGCTTACAAGCTGTGGTCAAATTATTTTGATAGCATTATAAAGTTAGCCAGATCTAAGTTGATATGATTTATTTTTTTCTATTTAAATCAAGATCAAATTGATCAATGTGTTTTAAAAGCTTCCTCCTATAAATAATTCATTGTTCCAGTCTGGGCAATACATGGCAAGGCAAGTTTTGTAAAGCGTCATTCATACATGGAGCATTTTGGAGTCATTTGAAAGAAAACTAAGGAACAAGGATACAGAAAATTACTATAAAACAAAAACATGTATTAAGAAATACAGAAACATGGAAGCATCAGCATGATTAAATTCAAACTGAATTCATATTCAAGAATTTTTTATCAATCCACCACAAGAAATGAATGAATAAAAAACAGATTTGAAGAAACATAAACAATTAAAACCAATAAATATTTAAAATAAACTTGATAAGAAATCAATTTATATTGTCATCTTTGGGCTTTCATTTTCAGTTTTTGGTTTAAAAAAGACTTTTAATTTTAGGGATCAAAAACATGGATTTATGTCTTTTCTACATAAAATAGGAGGACAATTTGACCCCATTGAACCCCCATCATAGCACTGGACAATACCATTCCTTTTCAAGTCTATCAATAATTCCCAAAGAATTATGTAAAACAACAGACTGGACCCAGATTTGATGTCTTTGCTTATGGTTTACTTTCACACTCAGAGTATAAACTTACATGTCTCAGCCACAGATTGGTTTCCATGATCTGATTGACTTCATCCTGAGAATAAGACAGAATGAATTATAAAGACATCAGTGCAAACAAAAAAAATAAATAAATAAAAAAGAAAGAAAAAAAAAGAAAAGAAAAGAAAAGAAACAAAAGCAACACAATATATTGTGACAATACCGACACATGGGTGTTTCTGTGCATTTATTGTAAGGTTTTTCTGTGTTCAGTTTCTGTCCTGAATCTGTCTCTGCGTCTTCCCTGTTGATTGATCCCAGCAGTGTCTCGTTCCTTGATCACCCTCCCAGTGTATTTAAGCCCACCTGTTGTCTTTGTCTCGGGTCTGGTCCTCGTTGTATGTAGCTTGTAGTCAGTAGTTCTCAGTCGAACTGTCTAGTCATGAGGCTACTTTGCTCCATGTTCAGTCTTTGTGTCAGTTGCTACCGGTATTTAGCTGTGTGCTTTTGTCTCTGCCGTGCTGCCTAATCTGGACTGTTTTGAGCTTCATTATTAAATTCATCATCATCACCATTATCTGGGTTTCAACATTCATCCTCACCACAACCACCCACAAATCCTGACAATGGGATCATGAAGCTCATCCGTGAGGATTGGTTTGTGTGCTTTCTGCAATGTCAGGCTTTTTTAAATCCCCAAAAATGACGGTTTAGAGAGATGCACCTGAGTCTAATGAGCCTGGTGCATAACTTGCATGACAGCTGGATTTGCGAAGCCAGAACACAGATTTAACTTTTACTCTTAAGCTGCAGCAGGGTGACCAAGGAGGGGGGAGAGAAAAGTTGCATGAGACGGATTTATATGTGACTTAGACCGTGAATGAACCAATTTCCTGAGCCAGTGCATAACATTAACCATTCATGTGACCATGTAGTATCCAAAAGTGTCCGAAGTTGAGCTATGAGCACAAGCGTCTGTGATCATGCCTCCATCGTCAGTACTTTTAACTAATTATTACATAATTAGGACAATAAACAGTTTTCTCTCCCGGAAAAGCATTTGCTGAGAAGGCAAGCTCAGTCCCATGGGTGAGCCTGCTCCCTAATGGTTGCATGATGACTCGAGCAACACTGGTGATGAGCTATTGATGGCCTGAATGAACTCATACAGGCGTGTGGTAATTGGTGTGGGCAAACCAATACCAATTGTGGCTGGCTTAGGAGCAGCAGGTGTTGCTGAGTGAAAACAGTCATCCATCAGCAGCTGGATCTCAGTGGCTTTCTCCACTAAATGTGTTTTTTTAACATCCTCATGCACCTGGACACATCATCAGGGATGCGGCCAGAATAAGGATGAATGTCTTTAACCTGAAAGGTTCTTCATATGTATTTAGCAAACGGATTTTGGGAAAGGAAAATAGATTGAGATTAATTGCACTATATCATATTCTACATCTCCCATGGATAGTTTGCCAAGCAAAAAAATAAATAAATAAAAAAATCCTCTCTCTTGTTACATTGCATGAGAAGTGAATGCACTTTAACAGGGTTTTATTTGATAGACCAACACAAAATAGTGTGTTATTATGAGATTAAATAATAACCAAAAAATCTGAAAACTAAGATTTAAATGAGCATTTAGATAACTTTATACTAATAACCTTAAAAATAATTAGCACATATAGTTAACCTGTTTATATTAATATAATTAAAAATACAGCTGCACTGTGAAAACAAGGATAGAAGTGCAGACAACAAAACAATTTGTAAAACTTTCCACATCCTGTTTATCATCTGAAAATGGGCAGAGCATTGCACAACCACACACATCCATTAACTGACTATTAGTCCGTTAATGGATATGCCATGATTACTCTAGAGGAGCTGCAGAGACGCTCATCACTGCTGCGATAATCTGTTGACAA